GGAACAATAACGAAGAGGTGGGTGTAAGTTAGTGTAGTAATAATCATAGTAATAATGAGGGAACGGAAAGGTACAATCAGAAGAAATCTTTCAGTTAAGGAAGATGCAACCACTTTTTATGAATAAAGTTAAAGAAATTTACAGCAGGATCGCCACTGGCTTCTATTCTGAGCCATATCTGATAAAGTCTCTAGTCCCTGAGTCGCACCCTCTCTTAGACTACAGCCAGGGAGTCGTGAAGGACCAACACCAGTTAGCCCTTTGTAGCTGTTAGGATAGTCGGAAAAAGAGACCAACAATTATCATGTTAATTTCAATGGTGTCCTTGGACTTTAAATGTACATTTCCTATTGGTCGATATTTGTTCACTTGTTGAATATTGTACAAAATGTTGTTTCCTATTTTATGGTACGATGTGGTTTGTTTGCTTGGTATATAAATAGAGTATGTTTGAAATACAATGATTCATAACCCAGAGGTTGTGACTTGTGTTCTTGACTCAACTGGCTAGGACAGACAGCGAGGCAGGGCCTATCAGGGCACTAGGTCGTCCTTACATGTTTTCCGTGTCACTGTCACAGATCGCGATCAATAATAACGCTGCTTATCAAAAACCTGCAATCACACACACCCGTTACAACAATTGGCGACGGGGTAGAAAAAATTTTGAACCCTCTAATTGGACGAGATTCAGCATATTTATTTTGACCAATCAGTATCCAGATTTGTCATTGGCGTCCTTGGGAATCATTGGTTGTTAATTGATTACAGTATTTCTCATTACCCTGCTGACTGAGAAAATGAATATCCTTCCCGATCAGTTGCAGCTACTACTATATCGCCAGCAGCAGCGTTTCAGAGAAAGCCAGTTGAATGTTTTGGACAATTTACGCACGCGACTGCTAAATCTCCCATGTTTCGGAGATGTGAAGGAGATTGACGAATTAATTTCTCACTTGCATACTGAACTCGAGAATGACTGCAGGACATATGAAGATGAAAACAAAAGCCTCTATGAATCCCTTATGATCAGTAATGCAAACGAGACAGTCACTCATGATCCGTCCAGCGATCCAGAATTGTCCAATTCAGAAGCATGCCCTGTTGTGGGTTCAAATCCCACTGTGCCTGAAACATGTGAGGTATCCAGCTTACAAGAAGAACCTCTCGTGCCAGAAAATGTTCCCCGTGCATCAAATAATGGTCAGAAATCAAATACAAATTTCGAAGATGCTGTCTATTTTAGTGACCTATTACCCACTGGAATTTTGAAGAGGTCTGATGAATATGTTTCACAAGAATCAAGCCTTAATGACCTCATGTCTGGTGTCGCTAATCCTCATCATCTAGTCAGTTTTAGTGAACCCTCTACTCAATGCGCGAAATATGCTTTAAATGGAATCAGACTAACTGTTACTTGGGTATATGAGGACCCAACGTTATTTCGCGGGGGGGGGACGGACGCAGAAAATTTTAAAACGCAGATATGAACTCCGCATCTTTCGAAAAAGGGGAGGTGTTAGGATAGTCGGAAAAAGAGACCAATAATTATCATGTTAATTTCAATGGTGTCCTTGGACTTTAAATGTACATTTCCTATTGGTCGATATTTGTTCACTTGTTGAATATTGTACAAAATGTTGTTTCCTATTTTATGGTACGATGTGGTTTGTTTGCTTGGTATATAAATAGAGTATGTTTGAAATACAATGATTCATAACCCAGAGGTTGTGACTTGTGTTCTTGACTCAACTGGCTAGGACAGACAGCGAGGCAGGGCCTATCAGGGCACTAGGTCGTCCTTACATGTTTTCCGTGTCACTGTCACAGATCGCGATCAATAATAACGCTGCTTATCAAAAACCTGCAATCACACACACCCGTTACAACAATTGGCGACGGGGTAGAAAAAATTTTGAACCCTCTAATTGGACGAGATTCAGCATATTTATTTTGACCAATCAGTATCCAGATTTATCATTGGCGTCCTTGGGAATCATTGGTTGTTAATTGATTACAGTATTTCTCATTACCCTGCTGACTGAGAAAATGAATATCCTTCCCGATCAGTTGCAGCTACTACTATATCGCCAGCAGCAGCGTTTCAGAGAAAGCCAGTTGAATGTTTTGGACAATTTACGCACGCGACTGCTAAATCTCCCATGTTTCGGAGATGTGAAGGAGATTGACGAATTAATTTCTCACTTGCATACTGAACTCGAGAATGACTGCAGGACATATGAAGATGAAAACAAAAGCCTCTATGAATCCCTTATGATCAGTAATGCAAACGAGACAGTCACTCATGATCCGTCCAGCGATCCAGAATTGTCCAATTCAGAAGCATGCCCTGTTGTGGGTTCAAATCCCACTGTGCCTGAAACATGTGAGGTATCCAGCTTACAAGAAGAACCTCTCGTGCCAGAAAATGTTCCCCGTGCATCAAATAATGGTCAGAAATCAAATACAAATTTCGAAGATGCTGTCTATTTTAGTGACCTATTACCCACTGGAATTTTGAAGAGGTCTGATGAATATGTTTCACAAGAATCAAGCCTTAATGACCTCATGTCTGGTGTCGCTAATCCTCATCATCTAGTCAGTTTTAGTGAACCCTCTACTCAATGCGCGAAATATGCTTTAAATGGAATCAGACTAACTGTTACTTGGGTATATGAGGACCCAACGTTATTTCGCGGGGGGGGGACGGACGCAGAAAATTTTAAAACGCAGATATGAACTCCGCATCTTTCGAAAAAGGGGAGGTGTTAGGATAGTCGGAAAAAGAGACCAACAATTATCATGTTAATTTCAATGGTGTCCTTGGACTTTAAATGTACATTTCCTATTGGTCGATATTTGTTCACTTGTTGAATATTGTACAAAATGTTGTTTCCTATTTTATGGTACGATGTGGTTTGTTTGCTTGGTATATAAATAGAGTATGTTTGAAATACAATGATTCATAACCCAGAGGTTGTGACTTGTGTTCTTGACTCAACTGGCTAGGACAGACAGCGAGGCAGGGCCTATCAGGGCACTAGGTCGTCCTTACATGTTTTCCGTGTCACTGTCACAGATCGCGATCAATAATAACGCTGCTTATCAAAAACCTGCAATCACACACACCCGTTACAACAGTAGCTTTCTTTCATACCACGACATCATGTCATACACTGACCACCTCTCCGCTTCTTCCAACTAGTCCCAAAGTCGGCAAGTAATGCACGACGTGGAATCCTCTGGGACGACATTCGTAGAACATGTCCTAGCCACCGAAGTCGGTGTTTCAAGATAGTGACATCTGGACATTTCTAAAGCCTTTGACATGGTTATCCACCAACTTCTTATAGGTAAGCTCGCATCTTATGGGGTTCAAAATCCTTTGCTTGCTTGGTTTTATTCCTTTCTCAGCAATCGACATCAAATGATTAAAATTAACTCTTCATTGTCCAACGCTGTCCCTGTTAGACGTGGTGTAATACAAGGTAGTGTCTTAGGTCCTTTGCTCTTTTTAGTGTTTATCAATATTTGTGAAAGCTTTTGTGTCGGTAAGCCCCTTCTATATGCAGATGATCTTAAAGTAGTATATTCATTTTCTCCACATGAGCTGAAAAATATGCAAAATTGCATCAGCATGGAGCTTAACAAGGTAGCACAGTGGTGCTTAAAATGGCAACTGGAGCTTAATACGGCTAAATGTGGATGGATATGCTTCGGCGATACATCACTCAACCTAGACATTACCATAAATGGAGAAGTGTTATCTAGGTTTCATACAGTAGACTTAGGACTTAGATATTCCCAAGACTTGTCGTTTACAGAACATATATTAAAACAGACCTCTAAGTCTCAACGTCTAATAGGTTGCATAACTCGAAACTTTTACAACAATGAGTCACGTATTCCAATGTACAAAGTTTGTGCTCGACCTCTTCTAGAATATTGCACGTTTATTCTTAGCAGTGCGCGCATAAAGGATAAATTAAGGCTGGAATCAGTACAGAGACGACTTACACTTCGTATTCTTGGAGTTGATTGTACCTTAACTTATAATTCTAGGTGTAACAAACTTGGGCTAGACCCTTTATGGAGGAGGAGACTCAAATTAAATTTTATCTTTTTCTTCAAACTACTTCATAAACTATCGTTTACATCCAATCACGTGATTCAATATGCAGAAACTTATTATGACATTCGTAATTCCTTGGCACTAGTGAAACAAACTCATTCTAAATCATCTCTTATATGAATTACTTCACCTGTAAATTTTCTAGACTCGAATAACCTACCACAATCTATCCGCACGATAAAATCACTCCCATTATTTGTTCGCTGCATCGATGCATACTGCTCCTCTGAAAATGCATTGAATGGTCTAGCACTTGCAAGTGTATCTCATTCCACAAGTGATATTTTAGGAACATTAAATGTTTAGCCATTCTTATTAATGAATTCCCTAAGTAAGACCACCTACCTGCTGTCACTTTATGTTAACACCGTCCCTAGCAAGTTTAACTAATTTGAATAACATCAACAGTATATCACATGTCACATGACACACGCATTTAGGTAGACCTGATTGATATATTTTGGTAGTTTTTTCTTTGTTGTTCCGTGTTCTCTGTTTTCGTTCTAATTTCTCTAGTTGTAGATAATTATCATTAATTCGATCTGGCACACGAATTGACTTCAATTACTCCATTAATAAATCAACAGGCTGTCCATTTAAGAAATATTAAAAATTACCGGCTGATGCATTGGATCGCTGTAATGTATGTACTATCTAAACAATTACTGAACTGGTTTACTTAAAACTTCTATCACATGTTTGTTCTGCACGTCTAATGTTACTATTTATATCAAACTGATCATGCCTGTAAACTGGCGTGAATTCTGTAATTATTATCTTCAGAATAAATTATTATTACTGTATTTGGAATTCGAAATCAAGTATTCAACAAGTACAAATGAATCATTATTTCATTCAAACACCATATCCGCCACAGCTTAAATTAGAGTCTAAGTGTCTGTAATCGATTGTACGTCTTCTTCTTAAGTTCATCCTTTGTCTGTCCGACATTGTACTGGATAAAAACTCTGTATTATCTAGAATGTGCTCATTAGTATTAGAATTAACAACCGAAATTGGAACAGACTCACCTGCTTCCTTGGATTGTGTAATCAGCATGTCGGTTGTGTACTGAAACCGCTGCTACCCAGAATTTGAACCATAGACTTTTAGACTATCTTCCCCCACGAAATAATATTGTATCTTTATATCCCCAAGTTATGAATAATAAGGCTTCCATTCTCACACTGGTTAGAGTAAACATTAGAAGTGACTTCGTGATAAGGATAAACAGCAGTTGATATGAAATCATCAGAATAGTAATCAAAATCGAGCTCATTTAGTACTTGTGCTTCGAATTGTACAAGTTTCCCAAGAGCAATAAATGCATTATGAGGACAAATAATATTTGATAGAACATCAAGATTTGATTCTTCTGAAATAGTTTCCTCCAATTTATTAAGAATGTCATTGCAGAGTAAAGGATCACTAGAAAAATCAGCATCTATCAAAACTACATCAGGTTTTTGATCATGACTAGGTTCATTTAAAATATTTTCATCAGATTGGCAAGGAATTTCGTCAGAAATAAGTGAATGATTAGGAAAAACCATATCTGGTACAATGACATGAGAAATGTGATAAGTTGATTGATTAGAAACTGTTGTCTCGCAAGAATTCTGAGTTTCACTTAATTCTGAACTGCTATATGACTCTACACTGTCTTTTGAAATCGTTGATAAAGATAAATGATCGTTATAAATACTCAACTTAATATAATCAGAATTACAGGACATAATATTAGTTGCAGTAAGATGAACAGTAGTATTACAAGCTGACTGAATATGTCCAATATTACCACATTTAAAGCACTTAGAATTACGAAATTTACATGAATTAAGAGAGTGGAACCTGCCACAGGACAAACGTTGAGCAAACTTGCGCCCATCTTCGTGAACTGCATCGCAACTCCTCGATGAATCATCTGCATAACCTTGAGTATGCACTGGGTTGGGGTGACGTAATGTAGTGGAATTTTTTACATCCTCATGAATCATTTTACAAAATCTTCCTTTACCGCTTTCGAACTTTGTTTACTTAACATAGTCTAGCATTAGATCCTTGAGAGCTATATAAGAAAGCGAAATGGGCTTTTCCGGTAAAGCCAGAGTTTTTAATAATCTATATGCTTCTTTTCCGATGAATGTGAGGAAATGTGCTACAATATTAACATCCTCATCATCTCCCTTGGCCGTGGGCCAGATTTCGAACCCTTCGAAGTAATCCTCAAAAGCATCAAAATCTGAATGTATATTCAACAATTCCATCACAGGCTCAGTCGAGACGCCAATGTGATGATTAGGAGTATTTGAATTAAAGTACGAAATAAGAATACCAGAAATAACGCAATTGGATCAAGAAGTACTAGATAAGCGCGAATGAATGTACTGCATTTGGAATTTGAAATCAAGTATTCAACAAGTACAAATGAATCATTCATTCAAACACCACAGCAGAATAACGAAAGCTAATACGTATAGATGGGGAAAAATTTGTACAAGTGCTAGATCTATGTTATTTAACGATTCATTTATGACCTTCACGAGGCCAGAGAAAACGTTCAGTGTCCAGGGGTTGGTCTCCTAATGTATGCGTGAGTTCAACTTGACTAATAATTTGCCTAGGGCCTAATGATGCTTCACTGACCCTTCGTGTTTTTAAAGTTTTTATAAACCTCAGACTTGTTGAGCTAAGAGCAGAGTGTCACATATATTGATCTAATCTAATTTAAGTGTTGGCCAAAGCAGGAAAAGTAAGTTTCTAGATCATCAACCAATGTGACTTACAACATAAATGGAGATGGATTGATCCATAAAATTTGCTCAGGTAATTCGCGTTTTCGTTTCAGGATCACCGTCGTTAGTTGTTTAGTTTTCTTATATTGACATAGGGTTCTAACAATCACATCATGTGACTCTAATAGAATGCTACCGAAAATGTTGTTGATCTCTCTTGAATTCTATACTTTTCATTTCAGCATCCTAACAACTAATTATTTTTTCTTTACGTATTTATTTTAATTGATTGTTTAAGAGAATAAATACTCTTTCAAAATATCCTCAGTAATTAAGACGGCTTTTAGCAATTAACTAATGAAAAAATTAATATGACATTCAAAGAAGAATCGTAAAAATATCATTCTGAAATGAATAAATGGGCAAGTTGAGATATGAGATTTATGTTAATAACTCTTTCAATGAACCCAATTTGATGCCTCGGTGTTTCAGAGAACTTTGAACTTAATGTGATTTAATCAATAATGATGTTTCAATTTTTAATTGTTTGCTCTCCAGTTGCTTAAAAAGGTATCATTATAAAATGATTCAACAATCGTTTGTTAATTATTTGTAAATGATATATGTGTAGTATCCTTCATAATATACATGTATACGGACTTTTAAAATTATTATACACAGCATAAAATTCATAAATCACACATTTTTAACATTGAATTAATGTTATAATATAGCAATTAAAATTGCCTGGAATACACGGGACCTGATGGATCTGTAGGGGTCGTGTGTGGGCACTTCTGAAGAGTTCCATACTAGGATGAAAAAGTTGTCTAGTCGTCAATGGCTTTCACTGGGACCTCGCATAAGATTACTGCGTGATTAATCTCACCTAAAAACATATAGGTTTACGAACAATAACTAATAAATTAACGGTGATATTACGGTCTACTTTTAGTATTAAAGTGATCAAATAAACAAACTGCTAGAATATGGTTAAAAGCAATCTAAAGAAATGAAGAAAAATACTTATTGTATTTCGAATTTATATTTTAATCTAATTTTGTGACTAAATATCACTGTTATCACAGCCTTTTGAAGTTCATTAACGGCTTCTTAGGTTTAACATTAGTTGAAGACGAATGAGGAGAACTATATGTAACGTTTGAAGTTTTATACGAATGCATGCTGTTTGATTAATAGCACACCGGTTACGAAAAATGAAAAATAATTTATGTACAGAATAAACAAAGTAGACTTTAGGAAGTTCTTGAGAAGAAATATATATGCTGAAATGTTAGTTGTGAGCTTGAGAATGAGGAAAATATTCACTTAATCAACCGAATCTTACATATTATTCGTTTTAGTATTGTGTAAACGAACCTGAAAACGATTATCCCACCAAATACTTTAAAGTCTCCGTATTTATAGATAATTTTATGGTATGTTTACATGATTTAGTGGCTAAATATTACCCTCACACAAAGGCCTCATTTCTGCAACGTCAAAAAATTTGTAAAAAGACTATTATTTTAAACATATATTTGTTAGGATAAATAGGTTATAATGGTCTAAGGTGGTGTTATGCAATGAGTTTTATAATATCGAGGTAAGATAAGTCAATGAAAATTAGTTTTCAACATGTGCTTACATTTATTTGTATCCATGATCCACTCATGTGTTAAACTGAATATGTATTGATGTTACACAACTATCTGGAAAATAACCAGTTCAAATGCCTGAGACTGACTTTTCAAAATAAAGAACTGGTTACAGACGACGGACAGCTATTGATTAAAAGGGTGCAAATACCTACTCCTGGTTTGTCCACATAAACACACAAGAATGAAATGTAGAAACTGATATTAACAGGCTAACAGATATTGATCATAAAAATAATTGTAACAACAATAATAATAATATTAATAATAGTATCAATGTTCCAAGTTCAAAAGTTAGCTTTTCAATTATAAGTATGAACTCAAATTCAGAAAATGAAAATGCGATGAAATAGTTGGAAAATGATATAAATGATTCAATTTGTTATAGAATATTTTATTATTTTAAAAAAAAAATGATTCAAGAAACGAAACAGTATTTAATAAGATGTAACTAATTGAATTTTTATAGGAATATATCATATTAACCAGTGTATAATTAAGTTGTGTTTTGTTTCTTCAATAAGAATAAATATAGTTCATTTAATTGAGATATGGTTGATGTATTACAGTAACGATCTCGGTGTTTAATCTGCCGACGAGATAACCGACAGTAATGAGCTTATTTCATCTGTATATAAATAAAGTAACGTGTTGGGTGGAAAAAACATTAATAGAATAATCAAATAGTCAATTTATGCATATAAATTTAAAGAAATACTTAATTGGTTATAATTATTTGATAAATAACTTATGTGGTAAGCGAATCATTTCATTAATTAAAATTATTCTTAATATAGTTTTGTTAGTAGTATTGCTTTGAAGAAATGTGTTGCACAAACAATGTTTTGATGTCTTTTTGTAAGCAATGATGGATAGTGGCTAGCAGTAAAATCCAGTACGCGCGTTTCGTCCAATTTGGCACTCGTCAGCTGGATGTACCTGCATCTCAGAGTTGATGTTCACTCTGGGACTCGAATGTCTTTTTATGTCTTTTTATTAGATAGCCATAAGTAAATATATCACTGAAAGTGTATTGTCAGTTTATTCTTTATAATTAGGTGAAAATAGCTATTAAATTAGAATTTGGTGAGAAACATTATTTATTCAATTCCTGAATATTTTTAAACCATAAAAGTAATTTTCTAAACATTTATCTCATTTGATCTGTAAGTCACATAGTCAATGATTGACATAAGACAACAGCTAATGAGAGTGCAAACACATAGAAACAATAGGGTCATTAAAACTGACTAAGTTGGGACTTGAAATATATTTGTTAAATCCTTAATCGTACTTGAATTAGAGGTTGATGGCTCCGTGTAGAACGGCAAAGTAAACCACCACGCTTATAATTAATTTCAATGAAGCCATAATATTTTCGTCAACTGTAATATATGTCTCTGCTTACTTTTAGTTCAAATATAAAACTAAAATCCAAACAGGCATCATTCAAAATCGAATCATATTAATGACAAATCAAAATATCATACCATCATTCAAATTGAATAGATCGGCTTGTTTTCTCAGGAATTCTTGTTTGATGGTTTCGTGCAAACTGAACACATTCATCGTCTGCAAATATGATCTGAATTTATTGTATTCAGAAAGTAGAGAATAGAACAATTATTTGGTAATTGCTGTGTGTATTTAGTAACGACTATTAGATAACACATTATGAATAATATAATCACAAACGCTTTCCACATTATTCCTCATCCATTCTGTATAATTATTCAAGCAAGTATTAGAAACTGATTTGTGAAAATAAACAAAAATGTTGTTGAATTAGCTGAGAAATTTAATTTTTCAAATGGGGATAGGAATCGAAACTATTTTAACACCGAAAGAAAATATTTCAGTCAAGCTGTCCTCTTCCTTTAAAATAACTTATTAATAATAAAAAGGAAATCATATTTTTAAAGATCGCAGCGTTTCAAATGAAGATGACTCCAATATCTCACTCGACAGTTCAGTCCGAGTACAATAGATTTTTACAAATGCAGTGTAGTTTTTGATGTTTTCTATTAACTCTGCACCCAAATGTTTGAAACTATCTTATCAACAGTAAGCTAGACCTCAATATCACTAGACTGTGAAGTTGGGCAGATAATGACACATAGTATGGCGTAAAACTGTGGGTATGAGTTACTGACATTATCATACAGGACGAAATAACTGTCCCGTATTCACTCATTTTTTAATAGTTCCTTGGCTAAAATCAATCTATGGTGTTTACCAACTTAAAAGTAGTTCTCTTGTTTGAATAGTGCAAGTTTGTTGCTTAAGTTTCCCTATAATGTTTATTCCTTTGTTGCAAGAACTGTATATCTTCAAAATATTCAACGCCTAAATAATCAGATCATACAGATTTTATACACTGACAAATAAATTTTTATAAACAAATGTGACATCACTATTTACAACTATTTTTAGATACCTAATTGGATGTATGAAATCTAGTTGAATAAGTTATTCAAACTTAAATTATCATCACTCAGAAACTAAATTTTGCAAGGCAGGCAATTATTTCAACTATATTTTGCTGTCTTCTCTTTATGACCGTTTGTTAACAATATGAGTAAATTGTTCAATGTTTACCCTTTCGCTGTATTTTTGTACTTAAAATCAGGATATTGAGATTTTTTAAATGTTTTCTTTAACTAGCACACACCAGCCAACGTTCATATACGATATTTATTCAAAATTGGATTTCTTATAATTTGAACTGTATGTGCATCATGTTAAACAGATATGCTCATTATCTGTCGTTTGTTATTTTGACACTGAATAGTCCACTCGAGAAAACGGCAATTTAAAAGAAATTCAGTAGGTCAACCTCTAAAAATCTTTTTTCATTCGCAAATGATCGTTTATGCAAATATGTACGATAGCTAAACTAATCGAATGTAACACACAAAGTGCGTGCAATTTATTTACTGTAATTAAACAAACAATTGATTTCTTTTCACAAAACCTGCTCATTTTTGTGTATCTTTATTATATATAAGAATAATGAGAGAGATTTAAAGGAAAACCTGA